CGCTTATGAAAAGATGTCTTAAAGTGTCCTCTTTCTAATGCTGAAAACCGCACTTCATTATCTATCTCCCGCGAGGAGTTATTCAAAAAGCAACCGACTGCACGACCATTTGGTACGGATAGTAGTTAGCAGAATATCGCACTATTATACTTTCGTTGCACATCGCTTGCGCACAGCAAATTTTTCATCTTCTTATTGATCCTCTATATTTAAGAGCCATTATACAGTAGAGACAGCCAATTAGTGTCTGAGTTTTTTGTTCTTACTTGCGCAGTTGGTAGCAGCAACACACTTAGGAAGATTCCCAAAAGTTTTTCATCGGAACTTACTTTATTCAAAAGTTATGGAATTTATCATGAAAGCTCTAAAAAGCAGGGTGAAACGATCTAACTATATAAAGGTGACAGTTCTTTTGTTTATATCTTGGTCTAGGAACTAGATGAAGAGTCCACATTTGGAGCATAAGTGGTCAAGGTCTAGCACTATTTATAGCCAAGAGTATATGCAAAAATAATATGTGCGAACATATACGCGCAACAAGGAAGAATTTTACTAGTGCATAGAGTTTCGCATAATTTTTTTCACCAGAAAAATATTACTGCATTCAATATTACTTTTATCTATTGTATAAGTGTATCTCTAATATGAATTCATTACTTCAGTTTTGCTGGTTTATTACAATGGTTCCATGCGTATTTAAATTGTTTTGGTTGTAAAAATATTTTTTTAAAATTACATACATTCTTTGTTCATCACACCACTTCTATCGTACCATTTTATGGTATTACTTCCTCACGTAGTTTATACATTCCTCTCGCTATTATTGTTACATATATACCAACTGCATTTTTGTGTTAAGTAGGCTTCACTAGTTATCTTTCTCTGTTAAATAAACAAATGGTCATTATCAGCCTCACAACATACTAGTGTGTTTGTTCATTTATATTTACTGTTTCTGCGTTATATAATTGAAAATGTCAACAAAGATATCTTTGACTAATGGTATAGTAGGTTCATTTGGGCCTGTTACGAAAATAGCTTATTGCTAGGAATACTGTATAGCTGAAAAATAATGTGTTAAGAAAGTAGTCAGCCTATTTTTGAATAATGAACACTCGCTGTTCTAGAACTGGCTTAGAGAGACTTGGGACGAATTGAAGACTTTGTTCACAAAGTAATCTCGGCCCTACTGATTGATTTAACAAGAGTTAAAAGCCTTGGATAGCAGGATTTCTTGAAAATATTAAAAGTCTTTAAAAAAAAGAAAATATCACGAATATCCATAATACTGCGACGAAAATACATTAAGACCTTTTTCTTCTGTATTATTCCAATACTGCGTGCTCGATTTTTAACTGGTTCTATCAATTTCGTTGATCACTCGAAACAGTTTTAAAACAGACTAATTCGCTTATTTTTAAAGCCACTGTGTTTTTGCCAGCATCATAAAAGTATACACTTTGTCTTGTATTCAGGTTTGTGCATGTTTTGTTCTAGTAAGTTCAATTACCGTTCTGTGTGTTCGTGTGCCATGAGTACTCGTCATTCCTCCTGTCTGTCTATTTCTCGCAAAAAATCTTATGAAGTGTTGTCGAATTTTTTTCGAATAACTCATATAAACGTAAAATGTATACGAAAAATAGATTGTTTGCAGCATGAATATTGTAACAAAATTACAAAAATTTTCAATTGCTATTCGCTGTTGAGATTTTCCGGTAACATTACCTGTAATTGCTGCATATAGATAGTAAACGGGCGTTGGTAGATTACAACAGAGGAAAAATAGTACATGAAATAACATAATGTGAACTAATTCTCGATTAATAGTTGACATTGTACTGTTTGCGACAGGTGCAATTCGTTGACGACTCTTTCGAATATTATTCATGGTAAGGAGGCCGAAAATGATCATTGTTGTCGGTGTTAATAGCCCAACTAGACAGAAACTGTATACACTTAAGAAGATGCTATAACCATTAGTAACAAAGCATCGACCTTGAATTATTGCTGGAAATAACAACGCATGGATGGAGATTGTCAACCAAAAAATAATATTACCAGGACATACTCTAACTACCATTGACATGCTGCTCAAACGACGAAGTGACGGCGAGGCTGAAGACAGGAGATATCGATCAATGCATGCCAAAATCAAATAGCTGCGAGATAACATTGTAAACACTTGTGAAAAATAAGCTTTTAATCGACATAATGTAAGAATCGAATTAGTAGCATCGATAATATTGAAGCTCAATACGAATGCAGGCGGCAGACAGACAAAGTTGAGAGCGAAAAAGTTGGAACATGACGATGCCAGAAGATACATAGAGCACGGATTTGTTCTGAGAGATCGGGATGACAGAAACACCAACGCGTTCATCAAACAGCCAACATTACCTAGCACAATTGAAGGAACGAGAAAATAACGACTAATCGATTGTTGAACAGCGAGTAAAGTTGGAATCAACATATTTATAGCTCCCGACGAATTCATTTTGCTTTAGAATGTGGATAACAACATAGATTTACACAGATTGTAATTAAAAAAGTGCTATCTATGTTGCCACTGTCAGCATAGTAATTACTTTGTAACAGGTAATATATAATAAGAAAATTACTTTTACAAGATTGAGTATGTCAGTAGCAGAAAAAGGATCTTGAAGATTAAAATCTCACGAAAATGAGATTGACAACTGAGATATTTCATCAGGCAAAGTGAATGTTCAATACATACAGAACTTTTTCTTTTGTCGTAGTAAGGTGCGAGAAATTCAAAATTTAAGCGTAATTTATTTTTGTGATATTTATACATTGTTGGAAAGAGTTCGTCGAGTTGAGTAAGAATATGTGTCTCTTAGTCTTCGAAAAAGGCTTTTTAAGGGGGGTGTTCCCCCACCCGTTTTTTTCCAGCAGTTTGTGGAGGACACTTCGGAGTATATGTCCCAACAAAGCTTTCGGTTCCCGGATTTGTAGTTTTTAATTCCAGAATTCAGTTCCAGAATTTGTAAGATTTTTAAGGTTTTTTCTGGTTTTTTGCCTTATTTTTAAAACTTCAGTAAAAACTTCATTTTTTGATATGAAGAGTTGATTCTAGCGTAGTTCGATAGAGAACATTAATTTGTATACGGAGAAACCCTTTTCATCGTTCCCGAATGAAGTTTGCCGCAGAAATTTAGCGTTCGCCTTTCCAAGGAAACTTCAGAGCTAAAAGTATTTTTCACCTCATCTTACGGCTAGTTTCGCTCGAAGCAAGCATTTCGAAGCAAAATTCTGAGTGTAACAGTTGTTCAGAATCGAACTTTGGAGTCCCTGACGAGAGCCTTTTTTAAAATCTTTTGTTTTTGATTTTTAAATTAAAAAATAAAAAATTTTAAAATTTTAAAAACTCTAAAATTTAATTTAAAAGCCAGAAACAAAAAATTTTAAAAAAAGCTCTCGTCAGGGACTCCAAAATTCGATTTGGAACAACTTTTACACTCAGAGTTTTGCCCCAAAATGCTTGGTTCGGGCGAAACTAGCCGTCAGGTTAGGTAAAAAAATCTTCAGTGAGCCAAAAACCAGCGATATTTTTAAGTTTTGAATTTTTTCTTCAAGCCTGCCCGATTTGTAGAGAACACTTCGAAGTGTATGCTCGGAAGTTTTCTCCACTTAATGAAATTATTTGGCTGAGAAAAAAATTAATTACTTAAACAATATTGTTAAATTTTCGATTTACCAGACTTACCGAGCGACCAAAAACGAATTCTAAAATGTTTAAGGTAGCCCATATTGTAGCCCGTGAAATTGTCTGTCAGATGAGATATTGCTTGAAGTTTTTCGTTGCGTTGCTATTTTACAAATAAGACTTTATGCTAGTAGAGTAGGCTAAATTAACGTTAACTAGCACTAATTCGTCAATACCAGGAAGGAAAGAACAAAAATTCTTGCATATTTTCTCGTAATAAATATTCTCCACACATTTCTCTATCGATCTAGGCAAAAGCCAAGTTCTCGTGATGAATGAAGGATGGACAGAAATTTTTTTAATAATAATCCCTTGTTCAAAAATTTAAAAATACTTTTTTAAGTAATTAATTTTTTTCTCAGCTAAATAATGTCAGTAAGCCGAAAAAGCTTCAGGACATATACTTCGAAGTGTCCTCTACAAACTGGAAACGTTAGCGAGAAATCTAAAAAATTGGTAACCTCCCCTTAGGAAGTTTCACTCTTTCCACTCGAGAACACAGATACAGATAAAATCTTTTTGTCACAAAAAAAGAAAAATGTCTTCATAAGTTTCAGCTAAGTAAACTTAAACGTTTTACAAGATTCGGAAGGCTCGGTTTTTGCTCTTCTGTTTGAAAACAATCCTTCCAAATCAATCTTCACCGTCTTCTTTCACGATTTCTACTGCTCTTACAAATACTTTGGAAATGATCCGTTAAAATTCGCCTGGTCCAAGTCACAACCGTCTTTAGAGCTCTGACTGTTCATCTATTGCGTGAGTGTAGCATCGTCAGTCTGCAGGAAAATTTTTTAAGATTTAACGGACAAATACAACATCAGACCGCGTATAAGCATAATTATGTAATAAGTTGATAATCTATCTCCCACCAAGTCCCCACCAATATGGAAACAAAATATTTCGATTTTGTAAAGCAAAAAATATGAAAATTGAACTAATGTCTACTCCAATATCCATTGAAATCGAAAATAGTAATGCATAGCGCTCCCACCACCATTTTTTTATCACAATATTAAACAAAAAACAAACGATAAACCATGTTGGAATAACACCAACAGGAGGTACAAAGAGTCCCATAGAAAATATAAGTGGAACGTGTACATAATGCAACCATTTTATTTCCGGATATATTTTGCTTATAATCCAAAATGGAATCGGTAATACGCCACCAACTAGAATTAGCCAGAGCATTTTACTTGTTGCTGGATTTTTACTAAACACTGCCGAGCTACCTTAAATAAGCAGAAATAAAACATCTCTCATCAATTGACTATAGCACAACCTAACATATAATAGAAATCTGTTATACCTAAGGCTGATATGATCAAGTTATTTCGGTTTATTTTTGTACATCCCCAATTACCATCAATATCACAAAAATTAGAAATAGTTGATAACAAATAAGTGGTGATTCCATATCGTAAAAGAGCTGATATTATAGTAGTAAATAATTGAACAAAAAATAATGTGCGTGCTGATATTTTCAAATAATGCCCGAATTTTAAAATTCTTGCAAATGCTACTGATTCAACTACAAGTTGATTGGTACAAGTCATAAATGTATATGTTGAAACTATATCCCCTCGAAATAATGATGCACCCAGCAATTGAGCAATTATTGCGACATCAATAGAAATATTTGTTGTTGCTTGTACAATGCCTATTGGTAATATACAAACAAAGGCCACCAATGTCGTAAAAAACAAATAGTACCACGGCATAAATTGTCCAAAATGACAAGAAATACCACAAATAATAAAGGATATAATAAATACTAGAACATACCACCATTCCTTGGCTTCAGAATATTTTGACATCAATGTACAGTGTATATCATTTTCACGTTTTTTCAATGTTGTATGCAACTGTTGTAACAGATCTTTACTATGGTATAAAATCGTATAAACCAATAGCGCCGTAAAACATCCAAAAAATGCGAAATAACTAACAGTGATTGTACTGTCGAATAGAATTGGTTCATGCATTTTAAGTAAGGTATGATTTTTCATCATTTCTTTGAAATTTGAATTTATTATACCACCATCAGATGCAAAAAATGTGGTCGCAGCAATTGGTATCATTTGAAACCCCCATAAATTTGTATAATACATGATCGGTACTACAACCCAGATAAAAACAACAAAACCAATTAGCATATTGATAGCAGCGTATCGTGGTACTAGTATGGGTGAGCCTAAAGATGATGTTAACGTTTTCCAATCGAACACCACTGTGCCCATACCCAAACCATCGAAACCCGTTAGTTGAGCAAGCACAAGACTTTTGGGCTTAATCATACACATCCATGAAAAGGCACACAAGACTGGCATAATGAAACCGGGAAACCAATAATAAATTGCTTGAAAAGATAAAATGAGGAAAAAAAATTTTATACGTGTTAAATTTAGCCATCGAATAGTTGTTGTCGTTTCTTTTTCATGGAGCGTACGTAATAAGGATATGACAGGCAAATTAGATGGCCATACCATTGCGGGTGGCCATACTAGAAATCGTCGCAATACACCTGTAGAACAGAAGAAAATATATAAACGGATATGCAATAAAAAACAGTAAACTGACCAGCAGTACCATAACCCATACTTTGTGCCGATAACACAAAAAGAAATCCCCAAACAAACGGTGTATTTTGATCTAAATAAGCAGATTTAACAACAATAATATCAATAGCGTCTGTTGATCTACTAGATATAAGCATCATTATGAAAATAATTGCGTGTTCTTTTACTGAAAACTGTCCAGAATTCAAACTAATATTTTTCCATTTCAGATGTTTCCCAGGTAAACATTTTGCCATGAGTATACCAATAGCATAAACGAAAAGTAACAGAAAAGAAAGTGGTATGTTATATTGTTTTGTGCGATAGATAAAGAAACGATCAACAGTGCATATCAAAACAATACAGCATAGACCAATGGAAAAACTACGAAACGTAAAACATAACATATCGGGATCATCTTTATTTGGTATAATACCGGCTATTTCTTCATAGGATGATTGTTCACTATCAATATAATTACTTTGAATCTGAATATCTGGTAATACTGTCGCTGGATATATCGGATTCATCGGTAAGTTATTGGACGTTTCGGAAATTGATGGAAGAGAATGCTGATCATTCATTCTGAGAGTGGAATATGCTCTACCAAGTTTCGAGTTTTTCTATGAAAATGGAATAATAATGCGTTGTCGTTTCTTGACCTCACCTATAAATAATTATGTATTTATTACCGGTATGATCTACAGAGCTACTAACATATGTTCAACTTATTCACTATTAGATGGGAAAATAAATAATGTTCGGAAAACAGCTAGAAATAATGGAATTCTTTTATTGATAAGCTTAACGGAATAAAAATTATTAAAAGATATAATTCGTCTGATACACGAATTAATATTGTTACTGATAAAAAAAGAGAAGATTCTCTATCGAAGTGTCTTTCAAGGAAACTAGCCCAGGAATGCTTGAAACGGACTAGTCAAATTCGATCCGATTGAAGATTAACGATTATTGATAAGTTTCCAATATCAATACAAAATTCGCTTAGCTTTATCGAAGAAATGTCGAATCATTTAGAATCTGATATTGTTTATAATATTAAATGTAAAGACCATGCTTCGCAATACATTGGTAAAACTAAGAGTCAGGCATGCAGACGATTTTATACGATTACGTAACGATACTTATGACTCTCATCTCAATCCTCCTAATCATTATCTAATATTAGATTATTCTCTACGGATGAATCAACACAATTAGGGAGAACAGCTAGGAGAGCTAAACTAATAGCTAGCTACTCAGAAGTAATCGGACAGATCAATCTAATAAATGCTTCAAAACGAAAAGTCCTAAGTGAGATTGATCAGTACTCTGACATAAATGCTAAAGATAAAAGTTCGACCCTACATGGACATGTTAGAGACACATCTCTCACTATTGATTGGTTGAATTGGCGTTTGATTGATCAAGACAAAATCGACTGTCGGTAATTAGTCAAAGAGTCTCGATTAACAGTATCTCTCGATTCTGACTTGAAATTTAGAAGAATATTAAGCCAACAGGTTTTAGAATGAATTAGAAAAGATCAGTGTAGAATGAACCATAACAAAATTATTGTCTTTTCAATACAAACTGACTCTTTATTAATATCGTGCACTATTTATTGAGTTTTTTCTTTTTCTTTTAATAATCCTTCATGTAATAACAGCAGTCTTCTTGATCTCCGACGATCTGTCTTGGATGGGATCCACCAGAACAAGTTTTAATTGAGTTATAAAACGTTTACTATCAGACGATCTGAAAAAGTCAGATATTTCGCTGTACCTCAGATTAAAATTTTTACAAAGTAAATCAACATACCTTCATACGTCTTTATCATCAAAGTTTCAACAACAGAGTTACCTTTCACAACATCAAGCTCTCGTGCTTGGAACATCAGCCGATTTACCAATCAACGGGCCATCTACGAGAGAAATGGCTTGAGATGTGAATAAACTATGTAAGATAAACAACTGATAAAAATTGGTTGAACCGACACTGCCTGGAAATTATGTGTACACTTACGAAAACACAGGACCTTATTTCTACTGACTTCGTTTCCTCGAACAACTCCTATACCAATGAAAACAATACAGCACTTGCAGTTAACATAACTCATAAAGCACAATCTTGTCTTGAATGTGCACTGCATATTGTCGAAATGAATTCATAAGAAGGGCAGAATTAAAGCTTCAAAGTATAGAAATCGGATAGCCTATATAAAAAAATGGTTAACCCCTGATGCAACTTATGCGAGAAGTCATTACAAATCGCGCCGTTATGGTGGCCCTGCCTGCAGCTTTGTTGAGCGCTGCTTCAGGGATTAATCAAAATTTTGTAATAGCCATTTTTTTATATGGTTAATCCGATTTCTATAATTTGAAGCTTACAATCAATGCTTACAACTTTTAATACATCCATCCTTGAATTCCACGTAAATATAATCATATCATTACTTTTATAAAAAAAAATCTTCTATATGGTCTGTGTTTTCTGAATGCAATCGGTAAATGACTATTAGGATAAAACGGAACTGCTTGTCGTTGATGTTGCATTGTTCTGAACAATGTATCGTAAATTGTTAGATCACTTGTTATTGTTGTTGTTGTTAGATCACCTTGATGTTTAATTTCATAATTAACTTTAATAACTTCATTACGATTTGGATTTGGATTTAGAGCGTGGGAATGAATTGTTGCTCTGAGATTAGACGTCCATCACTATATTCTTATAACAATGTTCTACAGCAAAAAGAAAGTACTTGTAACGGAAGAGAAGAACATTTCTCAAACGTTTTACATTTTCTATGAGTACCCATGTCGCTCCTTTTGTAATACATCTAGCGTAAGTACACGTAATCGAAAGTTAAATACAATAAAAAGTTTGAGCAACAACTAAAGTTTGACCACCATATGTGCAGTACATGATGTGCTTGGTATTGGAAGAGCATATGATTCGGTTGCGAAAAGTTTGATAAAATAAGATATAACATTGGCGTGATTCCGGTGTAAAGCGCACTTAACACACAGTAAAAAATAAAGTGGGTCATCAGTGAGTAAAATTGTCTCAGTAGATAAAACGGATCCATTTAGAGGGATCACGACTCACTACACTCTAAAAAAAAAAAGTATTTTAAAAAACCTAAAAAGGTTTTTTATTCGACAAAAAACGTTTAAACGTTTTAGTTCCATTCCGAAAAAACGAAAAAATGGTTTTTAATTGTTGATAAAACCAT